GCACAGCATGTTCAGGCGGGAGCCTTCTGGAACACGCTGCAGGAGGAGGAAAATCAAGAGGAGAGAAAGGTGGAGTGGGAGGAGGAGGGGGGGGGACGAGGAGGAGGAAGAGGCATCCCAGACAGCTCCAAGATAGCCGAAGAGGCTTCCAAGAGGGCCCTGGGCGGCCCACGAGGGCCCAAGGCGGTGCCTGAGGCGCCCAAGACGGCCCGAGAGGGCCCCAAGACGGCCCCAAGAGAGGCCCAAGAAGGGAAACACGAACCGAGAATCCGAGCTTTCTACCCCGAGAGGTTCTCGGGAAGTCCCAAGAGGCCCCCAATCGGATCCAAGAGGCTCCCAAGAAGCTCCCAAGAGGGCCGACGAGGTTCCAAGAGATCTCCCAAGGTGGCCCTAAGAGGCACAACTCATTGTTTTACGATTGGGCTTTGACGGGTTTTAATGTGTTCTGCCTTTTGTCATCCCGATGCTCCAAGACGGCCCAAGAGGCTTCCAATACCCGTCCCATATAGAGGAAGAGGCCTCCAAGAGGGCCCCAAGACGGCCCGCGATGGCCCCAAGACGGTGCTTGAGGTGCCCAAGACGGCCCGAGAGGGCCCCAAGAGCCCCAAGAGAGGCCCAAGAAGGGGAACGCGACCCAACAGCAGAGCGGTCCCCCCACAAGGCCCACAGGAGGCCGCAAGAGGCCCCCAAGTGGTCCGACGAGGACCCCAAAAGCTTCCCGAGGGCCTAAAGGCCCCTAGGAGACGTCCAAGAGGCTTTAAAATAGCCCAAGACTGCCCTCGATGCGTCAACACTGCTTCCAGGACGCCCCAGGGAGGCTTCCGATTGCCTCAATCTGGCCGCAGGTGGCGGCTTGAAGTCGGGCCTCCACGCAGCCAAGACGGTCAATGACGGCTTCAGATTGCAGAGCCGATGCCCCCAAGGGACCCTCAGACCCCCCCCCCCAAGAAGCACCCAAGAGGTGCCTCCAACAGCCAGTTGACGAAGCATGCGGAACATCCCAGAAGCTCCTCAGATGCCGTCGCGCGCCTGTGCTTGATAGCGTTGTCCAAGATCGTCCAGCGCCCCCCCGGCCTGGGCTAGAACCTGAGCGCGCGCGAAGCGCGCGCGATGGTTCTAGCCTAGGGGCCCGAAAACAGCTGCCCGACCCTCCATGGGAGTACCGTGGCTCATTTTCGCTTTTGTGTTTACGGGGTGGGGTTTCGGCGTCCCGGGCCTTGGAGGCCGCCGCGATGGTCCCGGACATTTTCCAGATCCTCGGCGCGGGCTCCAAGACCATTCCGCAGAGGGCTCCAACAGGCTCCAGGGCAGCCCAAGAGGGCTCCAAGACGGCTCCAGGAACGACTGCAGGGTCTCATTTTTCTTGTGTTTTCTGCAAGACGGCTCCAGGAAGACTGCATGTCTTATGAGCATGGCTTCCGCCTCTCGCCCCGAGCATCCCAAACTGCCTGAACGGTTCCCACTCGCCTTCACCAAACCCAGCGCTTGCCCAAGCGCGTTCCGGACGGTCTTCGCCGGAACGCGCTGGAATGATCACGCGCTGCGGTTTCCCATGCCAACGTTCTCGGACGTGGGCGCCCTGCCACGAGCGCGTTCCGGGAAGATGCTCCCTGAACGCGCTGAAAAGATATGGCCACATCTCGGGGACGCTCCCGGCACCGCTGCCCCAGCCTTTCCGGGCAGCCTCCACAGCGCTCCAGGAGGGCCCAAGACGCCCCCCAGGAGCCCCCAGAATGCGAAAGGATGGCCCAAGACGCTCATGAGCAGCCCAAGGCAGCCTTCCGACGGCTCTCGAGGCTCCCAGGTGGCCTCCAAGAGACCCCAAGAAGTCTGATAGGTATCACGGTACGGCCGGAAGAGGCCAAAGTCGTATATGTTCAATTGTATTCAATGTTTTTGGCTTCTCGCGTTTTCGAGCTTGCACGGGTCCGAGAGCGCCGAAGAGCCTCCATGGGGGTACCGGGGCTCATTTTTCCTGTGTTTCTAAAGGGTTTCCGCGTCCTGGGCCTCGGAGGCCGCCGCCTCCGACCCCTCATGGGAGGACGGGGCGGCCAGGGAGGTCCAAAATAGTCCAGGAGGGCCTCCAGAGGCTCCCCAGACGGCCCAAGCGGGCCCCGAGTCGCCGAAAGCCCGCTCCAGGACGCCCAAGATAGACCCAAGACGGCCCGAGAGGCCCCCCAAGGCACTCCACGACGCTTCAAGACGCCTCTCAAGAGCGCTTCAAGAGGTCGAAATCGTAATTTTTTATAAGGTTTTCGAGCGATTTTGGCCTTTCAGCCTTTTCGGCTGTCCGACGGACGTTCCAAGACGGCTCAATAGGCCCCCAAGAGCGCCCCAAGACGGCCCAAGAGGGCCCCAAGACGGCCCCAGAGTCGCCCAAGACAGCCCAACAGAGCCCCAAGACGGCCCCAAGATGCGCCCAAGAGGGGGACCACGACTCCAAAATTCGACCCTCCCGCTTGAAGAGTGCCCCAGGAGGCCCCAAGGAGCCCCCCAAAGGCCCCAGGAGGCCCCCAAAAGGCACCCAGGAGGCCCAAACGAGGCCTAAAGAGGCCACAAAACAGCCCCGAGGAGGCCCCACAACGGTCCCAAAACGGCTACCGAGAAGCTGCGAAACTGCCTTCACGACGTCCCCGACAGGCCAACCACGAGATCCAAACCAACACCCATGAGGCCTCTGACCCACCACCCAGGGCACGGTGGCGGGAGCAGTGACAGCACTTGTGCACAGCATGTTCCGGCGGGAGCCTTCCGGAACACGCTGCAGGAGGAGGAGGAAGATCAGGAGGAGAGAGAGCTGGAGTGAGGAGGAGGAGGAGGGGGACGAGGAGGAGGAAGAGGCCTCCCAGACAGCTCCAAGATAGCCGAAGAGGCTTCCAAGAGGGCCCTGGGCGGCCCACGAGGGCCCCAAGGCGGTGCCTGAGGCGCCCAAGACGGCCCTAGAGGGCCCCAAGACGGCCCCAAGAGAGGCCCAAGAAGGGAACGACGAACCGAGAATCCGAGCTTTCTACCCCGAGAGGTTCTCGGGAAGTCCCAAGAGGCCCCCAATCGGATCCAAGAGGCTCCCAAGAAGCTCCCAAGATGGCCGACGAGGTTCCAAGAGATCTCCCAAGGTGGCCCCAAGAGGCACAACTCATTGTTTTACGATTGGGCTTTGACGGGTTTAAATATTTTCTGCCTTTGGCATCCCGATGCTCCAAGACGGCCCAAGAGGCTTCCAATACCGCTCCCACATAGAGGAAGAGGCCTCCAAGAGGGCCCCAAGACGGCCCGCGAGGGCCCCAAGACGGTGCTTGAGGCGCCCAAGACGGCCCGAGAGGGCCCCAAGAGCCCCAAGAGAGGCCCAAGAAGGGGAACGCGACCCAGCAGCAGAGCGGTCCTGCCACAAGGCCCACAGGAGGCCGCAAGAGGCCCCCAAGTGGTCCGACGAGGACCCCAAAAGCTTCCGAGGGCCTAAAAGGCCCCTAGGAGACGTCCAAGAGGTTTTAAAATAGCCCAAGACTGCCCTCGATGCGTCAAAACTGCTTCCAGGAGGCCCCCGGGAGGCTTCCGGATTGCCTCAATCTGGCCGCAGGTGGCTTGAAGTCGGGCCTCCACGCAGCCAAGACGGTCAATGACGGCTTCAGATTGCAGAACCGATGCCCCCAAGGGACCCCCAGACGCCCCCCCCAAGAAGCACCCAAGAGGTGCCTCCAACAGCCAGTTGACGAAGCATGCGGAACACCCCAGAAGCTCCTCAGATGCCGTCGCGCGCTTGTGCTTGATAGCGTTGTCCAAGATCGTCCAGCGCCCCCCCGACCTGAGCGCGCGCGAAGCGCGCGATGCTTCTAGTATATATATATATGTGTATATGTATACAAGTGTGCCTGTATGAAAAACCCGGCAACCAAAATTTGTCAGGTCTGGTCTGCCACGCCCAAAGATGCTTACGCAGTTATACTATGCGTGCCTCGGCCAATCGAGGGCGAAGCGCACGTTCGGCAACCTCACAAGATACGCCTCGTGCCAGGCGCTTTCCGGCCATGCCGTTCGGGAAGCGACAGCCACAAGATTTTGCATCAGATGTTCGGGTCGGATGTGCGTCTCCAACGGAGGCACATTGTACAAGTATCCCGTTCTGCCTCCCATCTCGGGCGTTCCCGCCGCATCGCCGATGCCTTGGCCGATGCGGCCCGACGTGGAGCCTCACTCTGTTCCGCGCCGACGTCGCCGATGCACCGCCGACGTCGCTGATGCATCGCCGATGCATCTTCCGACCCCGTCCACTCCAGCCCCGCATGGGAGGACTCGAGACGCGAGGACGTCTGGGGCGTCCTCCTCGCCCCAGCTCCTCCTGAGGGCCGAGGCTCGAGGAGGAGGGCAAACCGAGGAGGGTCGAGGATTTGACGAGGGTCGAGGATTGAGGAGGGTCGAGGATTGAGGATTGGGGAGGGTCGAAGACCCAGGAGGATCGAGGACCGAAGGCTCAAAGATCGAGGAGAATCGTCGCCTTGCCCCCCCCCCAGGGCCGCGCCGACGTCGCCGATGCAGCGCCGATGCGTCGCCGATGCAGCGCCGATGCATTGGCGATGCGCCGGCGATGCTCCGGCGATGTACTGCCGTGCTATTCGGACCCCGTCATTATTCTAGATATTCCGCCCTGATCGTCCACCCCTCGGTCGATATGATCGATGTGGCTTTCCTTGAACTGCGCAAGTGTTCCATGGGTTTCGGTGACTTCTTCCGCACCTTCGAAGGTATGGAAGGTGGAGGTGGAGGGCTACTGCGACCCCGCTTGGGACGCCTCTAGATGCGCGGACGTCTCGGGCGGCCTCCCTGCCCCCCCCCCGGGCGCGGAGGGGGAGGAGGAGGGGGAGGAGGAGGAGGAGGAGGAGGAGGAGGAGGAGGAGGAGGAGGAGGAGGAGGAGGAGGAGGAGGAGGAGGAGGAGGAGGGGTCGCCTAAGCCTCTAAACGCGCGGACCTCTCGGGCGGCCTCCCCCCCCCTGGGCGCGCGTCGCCAGCGAGCGGCGCCTACGTGCCGCCGGGCGCGGCGCGGCCGCTGGCCTGGGGGTCGGAGGGCACCTAGTAAACACCAACACCGATCCGGGCCAGGGTCACCCTGGGCCCAGGATCGGTGTATATGCTTCTTGCCCAAGGCAGGAGGGCGTATACACCGATCCTGGCCCCAGGGTGACCCTGGCCCGGATCGGTGTTGGTCTATAGTTGGTGCCTTCCTAGGGGGCTGCCGCGGGCCGACGCGGAGGCCGGCGGCGTGCCTGGCAGAACTTCGCCCGGGCACGCCGTCGGCGCGCGCGCGCCGCCGGGCGCGGGCGTTGGGAGCGCCTACTACGAATCAGCCAGACCTCCGAGGCTGCGATTCAGCCCTAGGCTGGAGGTTCTCTCCGAGGGGCTTAGGCGACCCGTCTTCCTCCTCCTCCTCCGCCTCCTCCTCCTCCTTCTCCTACTCCGCCTCCTACTCCTCCTCCTCCCTCCTCCTCCTCCTCCTCCTCCTCCCCCTCCTCCCCTCCCCTCCTCCTCCTCCTGCTCCTCCTCCTCTTCCTCCTCCTCCCTGTATCTCCTCCTCCTCTCCCTCTACTACTACTACTCCTCCTCCTCCTCCTCCTCCTCCTCCTCCTCCTCCTCCTCTCCTCCTCCTCCATTCCTTTTCCTTATATATATATACATACATATATATATATATATATATATATAAGTTCCCTGTGTCGCACCCCGAGGCCAGTTGTTAGGCTGGGCTGTGCGTTTCGCCTGAAGCTTCCCCACCACTTATGGTTCTGAGCTTAGAGATGGAGGGCGGGCCGTTTTCCAAATGGGTTCTCGCTTGAGCGCGGCGCACATCGGTTGTAAAACCTGTGCAAGAGCTCCACGGATTGAGGGCGGCTCCTTTTTCCAAATGTGGCTCTCGCCTGAGCGCAGCGCACGTCCGTCGTAAAACATGTGCAAGAGTTCCACGGATTGAGGGCGGCTCCTTTTCAAAAGGTGGTTCTCGCTTTAGCGCGGCGCACATTCGTTTTGAACGTTTGCAAGAGCTTCACGGATTGAGGGCGGTGCCTTTTCAATAGTTGGTTCTCGCCTTAGTGCGGCGCACATTCGTTTTAAACATTTGCAAGGGTCTCACGGATTGAAGGTTGCTTTTCTCAATATGTGGATCTCGCCTTTGCTCTGCGCACATTCGATTTACACATCTGTAAGAGTTCCACGGATTCCCATCATCAACGTGTCAGAAATAGTGTTTGGAAAGGATTCAGGATTAGGCGGGTGCAACAGTTTTGCTGATTCGCTGTGTTGAAGTCCCAGGAATGGAGTTATGGTACGATTCAGGATTGTCAAGACGCAACAGTCAGGTTGATCCGTGGTGTTGGACTCCCGAGAATAATGTTTTGGCATGATTCAGGGTTGTCTTCCACCGAGGCACTATTTTCAATGGAAATGAACTGTTGTATGGGGCCTATGACGAGGGAGCTTGGAGGGAGGGTTTATTCCAACATCGTTGATGGCCCTTCGGTTTACATTGGTCCTCCTCATGCTCCCCTTCTCCTCCTCCTCCTCCTCCTCCTCCTCCTCCTCCTCCTCGTCGGGTCGCCTACGGCCCCGTGGAAAACCTTGCACCCCAGACTCCCCGGGGCCATGGAAAAATCACGGCGGATCTTTGTTTTCGTTATTTGGGACATGTAGGGGCCCTTGCCAGGCTTCGGGACCGTCAAAAGAGGATTCCGGATGAAGAACCAGTCCAGGCGATTGCGTCGGGACTTCTTGGGGTCGACGTTATGAACAAATCATGCGTCGGGGGTCTGGCGCGGAGGGCCGGTGACGACACTGGTAGTTGGCCTCCGGAGGGCCCCCTCGTCGCCACGGCTGGAAGCAGCCGGGGAAGCTGCTTCTTCTGGACCTCGGGAGGGGTCTGGGGACCGATCTTGAGCCGATCCTGAGGTTCCAGTGGCCGCCCCAGATTTCCAGGGAGTGGGTCGAGACCTTCGGGTTTCCAGGCTTCCACGTCGTGAGAAATCATGACGTCGGGGGTCTGGGGCCATCTGCTATAGTGCGTATGAAGATGTTGGGGCTATGTTGCTTTTGCGGTGCATCTATTTAAGTTGTGGAAGTTAGCTCGTCAGAAACAGTGGCGTCCTTCCAGCAAACTAACCAGAATCTAACCTCAACAAGTCAGACCGTCCTCAAATCTATCTAAAACCTAACTTCAACTACAGACAAGCTCGTCGCACTTCCTTTGGTCCCCTCCCTCTCCCCCTGGGACTTGGGACTCTCGCACTCCTCCTCCCACTCCTCCTCTTTCTCCTCCTCCTCCGCCTCCTCCTCCACCTTCTCCTCCTCCTCTTGGACCACCCTCGCGCCACGCGCGTGCGCCCGTGGCGCGCTCGTGCCTGAACAAGGGGTGGCGCGCTCGTGCCTGAGATCGGGGACGCCAAACAGAGGCGGGAGGAGGAGGACGAGGAGGAGGAGGAGGAGGAAGAGGAGGGGCCGAGTCATGGGAGAGGCTTGAACATTGACCATGTCGATTTCACTCCATATCAGATCAATACCAGTGATACCGATTGCTGTCGAGCAGGGCATCACTCGATCTTATCTCTGTATCAATGATACTGGGATGGTATTGCGCGATATCGAGGAGGCGATGTTCACGCCTCTCCCATGCCTCCTCCTCCTCCTCCTCCTCCTCCTCCTCCTCCTCCTCCTTGCTCCTCCTCATCATCATCCTCCTCCCGCTCCTGTTTCGCGCCCCCGATCTCTGGCACGCGCGTGCCAGAAAGAGGAGGAGGTGGAGGAGAAGGAGGCGGAGGAGGAGAGCGGAGGAGGATGAGGAGGACGAGGAGGAGGAGGAGGAGGAGGCGGAGGCGGGGGCGGGGGCGGAGGCGGAGGCGGAGGCGGAGGCGGAGAGAGAGGAGGAGCAGGCGGAGGAGGAGGAGGACGAGGAGGAGGAGGATGAGGAGGAGGAGGAGGAGGAGGAGGAGGGCGGAGAAAGGAGAGAGCAGGAGGATCAGGAGGATGAGGAGGAGGAGGATTAGGAGTAGGGGTAGGAGGAGGAGGAGGAGGAGGAGGAGGAGGAGGAGGAGGAGATGAGGGGGAGGAGGAGGAGGCCGAGGAGGAGGAGGAGGAGGGTGGTGATGAGGAGGAGGAGGAAGATGAGAAGGAGGAGAGGAGTTGGATTATGATGATGATGATGATGATGATGATGATGATGATGATGATGATGATGATGATGATGATGATGATGATGATGATGATGATGATAATGATGATGATGACGATGATGACGATGACGATGATGATGATGATGATGATGATGACGATGATGATGATGGTGGTGATGATGATGATGATGGTGATGGTGATGATGATGCTGATTATGTTTATGATGATGATGATAATGATGATGATGCTGATGCTGGTGCTGATGCTGTTGATGATGGTGATGCTGATGCTGATGCTGATGCTGCATATGATGATGCTGATTATGATGATTCTGATGCTGATTATGATGATGATTATGCTGCTGATGATAATGAGGAGGATGATGATGGTGATGCTGATGCTGCTGATGATGATGATAGTACTGGTGATGATGATGATGATGATGATGATGATGATGATGATGATGACGATGATGATGATGATGATGATGATGATGATGATGATGATGATGATGATGATGATGATGATGATGATGATGATGATGATGATGATGATGATGATGATGATGATGAGGAGGAGGAGGAGGGAGGAGGAGGAGGAGGAGGAGGAGGAGGAGGAGGAGGGGGAGGAGGTGCAGGACAAAGAGCAGGAGGCGGGGAAAGATGATGAGGAGGAGGATGCGCATCAGGAGGAGGAGGAGGAGGAGGAGGGAGGAGGAGGAGGAGGAGGAGGAGGAGCGGGACGAGGACGAGGAGGATGAGTAAGACGAGCCGGAGGAGGAGCAGTCGGATGATGATGCTGATGTTGCTGATGAGAATGATGATGATGAGGAGGAGGAGGAGGAGCCATGTTGAGGCTGGTCATAATGATGATGATGAGGAGGAGGAGGAGTGCTGATGCTGATGATGGTCATGGTGCTGCTGATGATGCTGCTGGTGATGATGATGCTGATGATGATGATGGCGATGATGATGATGATGATGATGATGATGATGATGATGATGATGATGAGATGAGGAGGAGGAGGAGGAGGAGGAGGAGGAGGCGAGGAGGGGGGGGAGGAGGAGGAGCAGGGAGGAGGAGGAGGAGGAGGATGATGATGAGGAGGAGGAGGAGGGAGGAGGAGTGAGAAGGAGGAGGAGGAGCAGGAGGAGGAGGAGTAGCAGGAGGAGGGTCCCGAGGAGCAACGCAGCGCGAGCAGCGCAAGCGCTGGATGGGGGTTGAGCCGCGCAAGGCGCTGCAAGGAGCGAACTTTCGCAAACACCTAACTTCGATAGCCCCGACCGCCAAAACACCGAACTTCGACCGCTAAGGACCATCTTCGATTACTTCGACCGCCCCCCAAAAAATCCCCTCAAATTCTAACACTCTGTCTAGCTCAACTTCAATTTCTAAGTTGTTGGAGCTAGTCTAGTTGTTATACATGCATGCCACGTGATCGGAGCACACATGCAGCTGTGCAGGTTTGAACGAACTGCAATACCGTAAGTGCAACGTAGCTCAAATATCTTCATACGCACTACATCAGATCTAGGTGCGTTCTGCCCAGCGGCGCCTTTTTGCCTCTCCGCTTGTATCAGCGCTGCGGGGTGCCCCCAGCGCTGATACAAGCGGAGACGAGGTCCTAGGCGGAAGACGAGGTGGGGCATAGCTCGCCGAACTTGGCGTATGAGCGGGTGGTGACAAGTGCTTTGAGCGGCTTAGGGCAGGAGGGACAAAGCGACACAGACAACAGTCAACCTAGATTCCCAGGAAAGTATCGGGAATGGGAGGTTGCTGGGAAGACGAACTTCAGAAAGTATGAGAACACATGGGGAGTCCTGGACTGTGTAACAACCTACCTGCGTCTGCCTAGGCCCCTTGGTCAGGGGGGGAGAGCGAACTCCACGAAGTGGGCGTAGCCCATCTCGGCTCCCCTCCCCCGCGCCTCCCCATCCCCTTGGCTCCAGGATCGGTGCGCGGACGCCCTCCCGGCGTGGATCTAGCAAGACGTGTGCCCGCACCCCAGCAAAAACTGTTTCCCAGCGTGAATCACAATATGAAGCGCTTTGTCCTTTGGAGGTGTTGGCATTGTGGTGGGAACCACCTGGTGTAAGTTATGTGTCCCAAGCTGGGTGCTGGAATCTATTCTGTGCAAGCAAGGGGTTGCAATATATATATATATATATATATATATATATATATGTGTACACACTCCAGATCTCGTAATACACGGGAGCGGGCCTGGACCCTCCAAGACGAGCCATTTCAGACCTCCCCCGTGGGAGAACCCTCCAAAACATCGTCCCCAGACCCCCCCAGGCCCTCCAAGATAGCCTGGAAGAGACCCCCCCCGAAATGAGACCCCCCTCCCTTTATTACGAAATCTGGAGTAATATATGTATATATATATATATATATATATTATATATATATATATATATATATTATATATATATGTGTGCGAGCAATGTGGTGCACGCTGAGTGTCGCAAGCTTTGTGGTGACAGCTATGGGGCCTGATCTGAGTGGCACCCACGGAGCTCCCAGGGCCACCCAGCGGGCAAGCCTCGCCGCACCTGCCCGGCACTCGGGGCGCCCACGGGGTGCCCACGGCCGCCCACCCGCCGAATCCCTAGGACAACCGCCAAACACCTGGGGTGCCCACGAGGTGCCCACGGCCGCCCACCGGCCGAACCCCTAGGACCACCGCCAAACATCTGGGGTGCCCACGAGGTGCCCACGGCCGCCCACCAGCCGAACCCCTAAGACAGCCGTCAAACATCTGGGGTGCCCACGAGGTGCCCACGGCCACCCACCGTGCGACTCCTCGCCACACCCGCCCAAACACCTATCAGCCGCAGCATGGCCCCCCGAGCACAACTGCCTCGGATGTCTGGGCTCCTACTACTACGACTCTGCTGGCGCGGGCGCGGTGGACGCGGCGCCTGGGTCGGTCCGCACGATCAGCCCAGTCCTCCACTTCGAGAAGGAGTTCACGGTCTCGGAGAAGCAAGGGGAGCAGGTCCACCGGAGCCCCGTCTACAGCGACTTCACCATCACGCTGCAGTTCCGGACCAAGGCGTCGCTGGAAGGAAGTGGGTCCGCGATCCAGTGGCATGGCGGCCACGGCCTCGTGGACAATGAGCAGAACGGGGTGCGAGATGATTTCGGCGTATCTTTTAAGCATGGCGCCGTCCTGTTCGGAATCGGCAACCCTGACACCACCATCACCTCAAGGATGGGATTCGATGATGGTGAGTGGCACACAGTGGTGGCGAGCAGGCGTGCCATGACTGGCGAGTTCTCGCTCTGGGTGGACGGCGAATCGCAGGGCTCCAAGGTGGGAAACACGCACTACCTCATGGACAATCCAGATCTCCTCTTCGGTGCTGTAGGCAAGCGGGACCGGAATCGCTTCGTTGGGCGAATGAGGAACATCTCGATCTATGACACGGACCTTACCCCAGAGCAGCTTGAAGGGAGGGAGCCAGAAGGTGGTACCGTGACCATCGTAGAGAAATCGACAGGCTTCGTCAGTGCACCAGATTATGTGCACGCTTTGGGCACTGACGCTGATCGCATCCTGGTCTATTTCCTCCCAGGGGCACTCAAATCGCTAACAGTGGTACTGAATTTCCTGTTTGACCTTGACCTTGATCTGTGGGCGGACGGCAGGATTCTCTTGAATTTCTTATTCGACATCGATGTGGCCGATCAATAAATGCAGATACCTGACTCTCTAGTCTTGCTGCCTTTGCTCTCCTCCACAGACAGAGGGGCTGAGTCGAGGAAGGGAAAGAGGAGGACGACAAGGAGGAGGCGGAGGAGGAGGAGCTAGAGATCAAGGAGGATAATGGAGAATGAAAAAGAGAACGATGATAACGAGGAGGAGCTAGGAGCAGGTCGACGAAGACAAAGGTCAGCAAGATAAGTAGAACGAGGAATTTCTTTTGTCTATAATATCGGAGACTGCTACGGCGAACCTTCGCCTCCCTTGCCTTTTGCATGTTGAATCGGTTAGCCGGGGTCTTGCCAAACTATTGGGCTATGTGCCCCCCAGTCGTCGCGGAACCCCCTGGGAGAACATTTGGGGGAGGAAGTGGGAGAGGAGAAGGTGCGGATTCTTGAGGCCTCCTTGGAGCTTCCAGGGGTCCTCCTGAGGGCCTCTTGGGAGCCTCTTGGGGGCCACTTGGGCGCTCTTGGCCTGTTTGGCCGTCGGAGCCCATCTCAAGGGCCCCTTCTGGTGGGCCCTTTTGGAGCGCTCTGAGCGCTTCAGGGCCGTCTTGGAGGTCCCTCGGGCTGGCCTGGGGCCGTTTTGGGGGTGGGTCTTGGTCCGTCTTGGGGCCCCCCGTCAAGGTCTAGGGGGGGGGTGGGGGGAGGGGTCAAGCTACCCACCCGCCCGCAAGCCGTCTAGCTCACTCCCACCCGCCCTCCCAACACATAAGTAAAGTAGCACCCGAGCCTGAGCATGTCAAGCGGTCGTCTTTGGATGGACAGATACTGGGAACCAAAGCCGATCCCAGGTGCGCGACGCTTGGGCGAGGTGCGCCATGCGCGCCAGGGGCGCCGAGTTCGCCAGGTGTGCCGCACACTCCACGTTTTGGGCACGTGCAGAGTGCGTCAGGTGCGCCTGCGCACGTGTCAGCATACATCGGGAAACACGCCGGCCCCCCGCCATCCTTGCCGACAACCAATGCCCATATTGTGTCTGGTGGGGCTGCGCACAGCAGGCCACGCGCCACCACCCCCGCCGTCCCTATCAAAAATCACTTGACAGTGATCGTGGGATGCCCGCGCATGATCCAGATTTAGCCGCGAGGCGCATGGTGTTGTGGTTTTTTGTCAGGGATGGTAGCCCTGCGCACAGCAAGGACTATGCGGACTTCCCCGCCGCCCCTGTCAAAAACAATACTAAGTGCTCGCGGGCCTCACGAACATGGCTCAAGACTTTGCCTCAAAGTGTATTTTGCATTGTTTTTTTTTTCCTGTGGGAAGAGGGCCGCATCAAGTTGGCCGCGCATGCTCCAAATCTGGAGGCAGAGTGCGGTTTGCATTGTTGTTTTGACAGGGATGGTGGGCGGCGGGCCCTCATGGTGTCGGCATGGTTACGGGTTGGTCGCCGGCCTGGTGGGGGAGGGGGTGTACATTAATAAGGAACAGTGATAAACCCCTCCCCGAAGGGGAAGAGGGGTTCTGTTGGAAGCGGAAAGAAAGATCTCGTTAGATCGCCTGTCGCCCAGAAGGCTGGCGGGTTTTGGGGCCCAACCCTGGAACATACGATGGGCAGGCGTATGTCCTGGATATGAGTGCGGCCGGACAGCGCCCTGAATTCTATCCCAGAGTTTCCCACATGTGCTGAGCGGCCAAGCGTTTCGGGCGGAACTCGGGGATTGGGCGAGAAACATCGTCTTCAAGATGGGGGAGAGGAGGAGGAGGAGGAGGAGGAGGAGGAGGAGGAGGAGGAGGAGGAGGAGGAGGAGGAGGAAGGATGGGGAGGAGAAGCAGGAGGAGGAGGCAGGAGCAGGAGCGGAGCAGGAGGAGAGGAGGAGGAGGAGGAGGAGGAGGAGGAGGGAGGAGAGGAGGACGAGGAGAACGAGGAGAACGAGGAGAACGAGGAGAACGAGGAGGAGGAGGAGGAGGAGGAGGAGGAGGAGGAGGAGGAGGAGGAGGAGGGGGAGGAGGAGGAGGAGGAGAGAGGGAGGAGGAGGAGGAGAGAGGAGGAGGAGGAGGAGGAGAGGAGGAGGAGGAGGAGGAGGAGGAGGAGGAGAGGAGGAGGGAGGAGGAGGAGGAGGATGAGGAGGAGGAGGAGGAGGAGGACGAGGAGGAGGGAGGAAGGAGGAGGAGGAGGAGGAGGAGGAGGGGGAGGAGGAGGAGGAGGAGGAGGAGGAGGAGGAGGAGGAGTTGCGAGTTGCGAGCTATCCCACGAAGTGGTCGAAACGAACGGATTACAAGCGACAACGCTGCTCAGCCTGACTAAGCACCTTAGGCCACTTGCCGACTTCTAGTCTGGAAAGGTACTCCTTCCTATGAGGAGCTACGTGCCTGCAACAGGGTTTGGCCAACTCTCTCAACTGCTGATGAGCGAAGTGACCACACCCAGAACAAAACCAAACTTTCTGAGCATTCGACAGTCTCAAACTGTGCGACGTGTCAACCCACCCCCCAGCTACGTGGAGCCGCCCCCCCCTCGGAAGGCCTCTGAACTTATCAGAAACAACCTCTCAGGCACGAAACAGGGCGAGGTGATGACGAACAATACTGAGGAGGAGGAGGAGGAGGAGGAGGAGGAGGAGGAGGAGGAGGAGGAGGAGGAGGGAGGAGGAGGAGGAGGAGGAGAGGAGGAGGAGGAGGAGGAGAGGAGGAGGAGGGGGAGGAGAAGAAATAGGAGGCGGAGGAGGAGGAGGAGGAGCAGGAGAAGCAAGAGGAGGAGGAGGAGGAGGAGGAGGAGGAGAAGGAGGAGGAGGGCGCCTCGCAGCCGCCAGACATCGCGCCCACCCGCGGTCGCAGCGGCGCGCGGCGCGTCATGGCCGAGACCTCGCGGCGCGTGCTGCCGAGGAGCGCCCGGACCCTGCAGAGGCCGCACACGGCACGAGCCCGGGGGGGGAAGGGAGGAAAAGGAGGAGGAGGAGGAGCAGGAGGAGGCGGAGGAGGAATATGAGCGAGGAGGAGGAGGAGGAGGAGGAGGAGGAGGAGGAGGAGGGAGTAACGAGGATTATGATGTTCCGAACTACTTTAGCCTTGACAACCAGAAACCAGGCGATCGCAAACACGGATTAGGGGGCGTGGATTAGCGACTGGTCCCGTTTGCATGGGGAATCGCTGATTTCCGCCGCCGAGCGAAGCGGCACCGGCCGCATTGTGGGGAAGGCATCTCCCCCGATCCATCAATTTGTCGACCGCGCGCCAAATCCATGGATCGCTAAACCATGTTTGCGCGCCCCCGATCCACTCCAAGAAAAAAAGACCATAAACATAAACTATTGGCGCTCCGCGCGGGTTTCTTGGATCCGCGCTCCTGGCGCCAGGGAGGGGGGTCTCTGGCGACTCTGGCGCCGCCCCTGGCGCGCTCCCGGCGCCAGGGAGGGGGGTCCAGCGCGGATCCAAGAAACCCGCGCGGAGCGCCAAAAGTTTATGTCTACGGCGTTGTGTCTTCTGCTATCCTCCATCCTCCTCCCTTCCCCTCTTCCCTTCCTTTCCGTCCTTCTCCTCTAGCCTCCCCCCTTCCCCCCCCTCGTTCGTCTCCTCCTCCCCCTCCGCCCTCCTCCTCCTCCTCCTCCTCCTCGGGAAAAGGAGGGGAAGGAGGCGAACGAGGAGGACCAGAACCAATACGACGACCAGGAGGTCGAGAAGCCTCAACAGCCTTCATGCGGCGACGGCGCCAGGTAATATAGACTCGCGTGTCCCAGGAAGAAGGAGGGGAGGGGGAGGAGGAGGAGGAGGAGGAGGAGGAGGAGGAGGAGGAGGAGGAGGAGGAGGAGGAGGAAGAGGAGGAGGAGGAGGACGAGGAGAAGGAAGAGGAAAAGGAGGAGGAGGAGGAGGAGGAGGTGGATGAGGAGGAGAATGAGAAGGAAGAGGAGGAGGGAGGAGGACGAGGATGGAGGAGGGAGAAGGAGCAGGAGTGGTAAGATTTCGTGTGGCGCACAAGGCCCCACCAGGCAATCGAGGCTGGACTCAGCAGGCCCCCCTGAGTAGTCCGGGGCGGTTCCAACATCCTGGCGACGCCTCCAGCGGCGCCCCTGGGCGCTCCGCGCCACAGGGTTGGGGTGTTGGGGCCGCCCGAGGCTATCAGGCTATCCGGGCGGTCCGTTGAGGCTGGCTGGTGCTATTGGGGGCTGACTGTGGGCAGCCCGGGGCCTTACCAAAGAGGAGCAGATTAGTGGATTTCACAGCCTTGAGGGCAGTTGGCCCCTTACAACAGGATGGGTGTGATGACAGTTCGTCCTGAGGTGGTACTTGATGCGTTTTTAACGAGAGCGGCTCAAACGGGAAGTCCCAGAGTGTGTGTGGGCGATTTACTAAGAGTGGCACTGAGTGCGCTGCGATCTTCAATGAAGGCTTGGAGTAGGAGGGGTAGGAGGGCTCTTCCTTGTTGTTTTCATCCTCGTCAGCACCCTCGTTATACTCTTCATCTGCTTCTCCTGCTTTTCATCGTCCTTCCCTTCATTCTTGTATGCAGCGCGATCTGGCGCCCGATGTTCCCCATCCCGAATTCGCCGATACTTCGGCGAAGCGAGGCGACCTTCCGACATCATTTGCTCCAACCCATTTTGGGCGGCCTTCAGGGGAGCAGGACGAGACGGGACGAAGTGGATGGGGCGGGGCCTGGACCTGGATAGCTCATCTCAGAAGGTTCCGGAACACGATCAGGGCGCTCCAGAGCGCTCCGGGTCGGCCGCTGCGCCCAACACATTTTTCGAAGCCGCATTGGCTTCAGAGATCCCCGATCGATACCGATCCGACGTCGTCCCGTTCTTGGCGTCGTCTCAGCAAGACGAGGCGGGAAGACGAGGAGGTCCGCGGAGGCTTTCTCGGGAGGTCTCTGGCGGTTTGTTTCCAGGAGCGCACACAGGTGGCCTTGGAAGACACGCGCCTTTCCTCGAACCTCCTGCCTATCACTCTTCGCCATCCTTCCTCGTCGAATCACCTGGCGAATCAGCAGGTCGATTTGACTTCTTCGGGCTGAATTCTCATGGAGCGTGAGATGTTCGTCAGTTGCCCGCACGGAACACACGTCGTCGTAAACATGCGGTCGCCGCTTGAGCG